ATTTAGCTTAGTGGTTTCGCCGCCTGCTGTGCAAGCGCAAGGACCCGAGTTCGATCCCTGGTACCAAAAAAAAGAAAAAAAGAAAGGGGACAATAAAGTCCCATTTCTCGGCATCTTAATACTAGATACTGAAATAAAATGAAAAGATCTCAGGTACCTCACACTTTTCTTTCCTTAAGCTCCCTGCTGTGACTCACTATTACTACATAATACACACTTCTTAAAAGGCCAGAAAACAGAAGCTCTTATTCTCTTTACTTCATGGCATACCTCTAGAAAATACATTCACCACCTGCATTAAAAATGCCAACCAGCAGTACTAAAGCACGTTTTTATACCTCAGGCAAAATGTCATATAAGAAAATGAATATCCAAGCCTTGCTGCCCCAACACACTCATCTTCACTGCATTTTTTCCCCATCATGATGGCCAAGATGTGCTGCAAAGATAAAGAAAGCTAAAACTTTCAAACTGAACCCTCAATATAATATGAAAGATCTATTTTATAAATGCTATCACAGCAAAATTAAATATATTCAGATGCTTTAGCATATGATCATTTTAACTAAATCATTAAGTTATATGACTTTCAAAGTTAGTATCAAAACAGGATATTTAAATCCAGCCACATGTGCAGTTATAAATTTTTGTTCTTTTGAAAGTTGAGCACAATGATACCAAATGAGATGTTTGTTTATACCTCAAAGTAGCATATTAGAAACTCACAAGCATTCTCCTTTGCTTAATTCCACTTATGTTACATATAAATTGCCAATATGAATGTTCATGAGGCTTTATATTTTATTTGGAAATAATACCGTTAAAATGATTTTGGTATTTTCCTACATGAACTTACATTGTTTTTTCCCAACTGTAATCTTGGTTTTATGTACACAGCTACCATCTTATTTTTGATGTATACCCTACAAGGGTAGAAAAACCAACCAAAAAGTCATGTGTTGTAAATGTGTTATAAGATTTCATGCATTCTCATGATATGATGTCAATAATCAACTGTACTAAACCAACTGTAACCATGTAGTACATGCTTTAAATATCCAATAAAGAATACACTGCAGACAGCATCTCAGTTGCGAGGGAATGTGCTGGTATCACACTGGACTCACGTGGTAGCAATTCAGGAGACTAAACACATTATTACTCAAATTAAAACATAAAAATAATAAAAAGGTGTAGATTTTCAGGTCTACTTAAAGAATATTTGTCTGTGAGGAAATTACAAAATAGACTTGGGTTTTAAGGGAATTTTTAATACACAACAAGTAATTTCTTGTAGTAATTTGAAAATGTATGAGAACATACGAACAAAGCTTAGTACTTTAAGATTTACTTTTGTAAAAGCATGTTGACAAATATTAAATGCTTTATCTGCGTTTGAACATCAAAGCAAATATAAAACACAAAAATCCAACCTTAATACTGATCTTCCATGCCTAATTTGGATTTAAGATATTGAGTAATTTATATTTTATAGAAACTTTCAAAGTTTCATCAATGCTTTTATTGTATGTAGTATTATTCTTTACCAAAACCTCTACTGAAAGTTAAAAAGCTGGTGTTGAGCAGTTATTTTTCTTGAATATTCTATAACATGCCATTTTGAATTAACCTTCAAAATTTCATAGCATGAAAGATACATGGATACCCAAAAATATGTTTTAACACAGGTTAATTTTGTTTATAATTATGACAGAAACACCTTTAAAGATAGTGAAGGACAAACCAAAAAACCCTATACAAATATAAAAGGTGTTTTGGGTCAAGTTATTTCTTAGTACAAATAATATACCATGCCAATTTCTCAATCAAATTCACAAAAGCATTAAAAAACTGCACTTTATAATTGTTAAGCAATGCATTTATGCTGTGGAGAAAGATATAAGAGAACTTACAGAAACAAAATCTCAAACTATTCCAACTCCTATAATAAGAGATTCCCAAGTTAAGAAATTACCAATACTGCCTGGAAAGTATGTCTTACTGCTACTCTCAAATTCACTTTAACTGTTTGGCATATAATTTAGCACCTTAAAAGAATTTAGCTAAATAGTTCAATAGTTTTAGAATGTTACCTCTCTGGATAGACATGTTTCACATAATAGTTTTCAATTAAGAAGAAATCACTGGATAGTTTTAATCACAATTTATGATCAACTTATTAATGGATTAACAATTTATTCAGCAATTTAGAAACCGAATAAATGAATACATCACGGTGCAATTTGGTCTATTAGTAATATCAAGCCACGAATCTGAGAGTCTACTCGACTGGGTTATGTTTTCGTGTGTGCTACTTTGCAAAAAAAAAAAAAAAAAAAAAGAAATATGAATAGGTGATTTAACACAAATAATGACTGTGAATTTGTCTTTTTTTTTTTTTTTTTTTTTTTTTGAAGAGCAGCTCAATGATTAGGGCTGTTGGTTAGTACAATACAGATAACATAGGAGAAAAATACAAAACAGCACTTTAACACCAGTGTCAGTACTTATCTCATTATGGTAATGACTAAGGATATTAATTTTTGTTATTTGCTTTTCTTAGGACATAAATCAAAGCCATTAACTTGAACTTGAGGTATATACACAATGCATACACAGCCTTAAGCAAAATACTTTTTGTAAGTAACATTACATTTCAAAATATTGGAAATAGTATGTGCTGATTTGTATTTTGACTTAATGGAACAAGAAGAGAACATTCAACTAGGGAGGGTTACATTGACAATAAAGCTCTTAAAAGTTCAAAATGTCTTCCTCTCCCTTTGTACTTACCAAAGGCTCTACAATGCCCTGAGGGGATTTATTATGAGAAAAATATTGATCACAGCTTTAATAACATACTTTGGAAGGAACTAATGAGAAAGCAAATTGGAAGGTGAAACTTCATCATTTTTTTTCAAATAATTGGTCTTAATTTTTCTTTAGAAAAAGTTTAAATCAGTTTATCATAAATATATCTAAACCATTAATTTTTGCAGCTTTCAGGTAAAGTCCAGCACTTTGTTTTTACAAAGTCTATGAGAAGAGGTCAGTAGAGATCATCTAATCTTAAATCGTGACATCATCCATGCAAGCCCTTGGCATAATCCCTCGCGCCAGTAAGAGCACAGCATGCCTGGATATGCCACTGGTCTTTAATCAAAGTGAGCTTCAAGAACTGGGAGATTTCTGCTACAGTCATGCATTCTTTAACATCTTGTTTATTAGCAAAAACCAGCTTTCTTTAGGTCCTCATGAGCTAACATTTTGTAGAGCTCTTCTCTAGTTACAGAAATCCTTTCTCTGTCTGCACTGTCCACAACTATTACAAACTCTGTACTAGTACAGTAAGTATTCCAGGAAGAGCGAAGAGATTCTTGGGCACCAATACCCCACATCAGGAAACATGCATTATTAATCACCATCTCTTATACATTACTTCCTGTTGTAGGGGATGTATGTACAACTTCATTCATAGAAAACTGGTAAAGGATGGTAGTTTTCCCTGTATTATCCAACCCAAGAATGATAACTTTGTGTTCCTGGTGATTGAACAGTGTCCATATCCTGGTGAAGAGAATTCCCATTCTCGGGCAGCGAAGCCCCTCCAGCCACCCGGACCGCCAGGCCTCCCCCTGGCTCAGGCTGAGTGGAAGAGAGAAGCGCTGGAGCCTCCGTCTCTGCTACTACCGCTCCTGCTCCTGCGCTGGCCGCTGGCCGCTTCCAGGGAACCTAAGGGAGGGCAAAGCCCAGGCCGCCCTGCTGCGCGCGAGGCCCCGCCGCTGCCGCCGCTGCACTCGCCTGGCTCAGGGACATCGCCGCGTTGTTGTTTTTTTTTTGCTTAAATTCTTTAATTGGCACATTTTAGGTATACAGGATGCTTACATTTATCATTGGGTTCTTGTACCTATACATGACGTATCTTGGGTCTCATTTTTTCCCCATTCCCTGTGCACCCTTCACCCCCTCCACCCTTCCCTATTTCCATAGACTTCGTTTCCATTTTTTTTCTTTCTCATAATTTTTCCTTTCCCTTCTTTCCTTTCCTCTTCCCCTCCCACCACCCCTACACCTTTGGACCTTTTCCTATTTCAAATGATCAATTATTCATTTTAATCATTTTACTCCTTATTTACACTTTCAGTTTCTCACACTAGAGAAACTATTCTGTATTTACACATGTGTGTCCTGTTTATTTCACTTAAGAGCATGTCCTCAATATACATCCATTTAGCTATAAATGTCTCTAGTTTCTCGTTCTTTTTCTTTTTCTTTTTCTTTTGGTACCAGGGATCGAATTCAGGTCCTTGCGCTTGCGCACCAGACAGCGAAACCACTGAGCTAAATCCCTGGCCCTAGTTTCTAGTTCTTTATGGCTGAGTTGTACTCCATTTTATAAAAACCCTATACCTTCTTTATTCAGTTTCCAGTTGATGTGGACTTGGGCTGTTTCCAAGCTTTAGCTATTATAAACTGTGCCGCTATAAACATAGGTGCACATATATCACTGTGGTATGATTCTTTTAATTCTTTTGGGAAGATACCCAGCAGGGGAATTGCTGGGTCAAATGGGATCTCTAGTCCTAGTTCTCTGAGGTATCTCCATACTGATTTTTACAGTCCACCACTGTGATCTTAATAAAACGACTTTATTTACCTGTGCCTTTGTTTTTCATCTTAAGATTTTAATAAAATGGTATACTTTTGAAAGGAGGATGATCATATAATTTATCAACCAAGTTGGGTAAAAATGAGTTAAAAGTAGCATAAACAGGAATTATCCCAGACAAACAAGGAAATAGCCTGTCAATTCTACTTGCAGGGGATTTAATAGAATGGATGGTTTTATAACTATAAAACTTGAACACTGTAGAGCACTGTTAGGTACCTATTACTATTTTTAATTGATTCTTTGGAGAATGAGTTACTCTTCCATGGGTATTCTTGTTATATAGATGAATTTATTCCTACTTTATGCACCAAGGTTTCTTGAGGTGTCATTTCTTATCAAAAAACAGCACATGGCAGCACAAAGCAACAGCTCCTCTATTCCAGTCTCTGAATTCCTCCTCGTCTGCTTCCCTAACTTCCAGAGCTGGCAGCAATGGCTGTCTCTGCCCCTCAGCCTCCTTTTCCTCCTGGCCATGGGGGCCAACGTCACCCTCCTGGTCACCATCCGGATGGAGGCCTCTCTGCATGAGCCCATGTACTACCTGCTCAGCCTCCTCTCCCTGCTGGACATCGTGCTCTGCCTCACCGTCATGCCCAAGGTCCTGGCCATCTTCTGGTTTGATCACAAGTCTATCAGCTTCTCTGGCTGCTTCCTTCAGATGTTCATTATGAACAGTTTCCTGACCATGGAGTCCTGCACCTTCATGGTCATGGCCTATGATCGCTATGTGGCCATCTGCCACCCACTACGGTATCCTTCCATCATCACTGGACAGTTTGTGGCCAGGGCTGCCATCTTTATTGTGGCTCGGAATGGCCTTCTTACTATGCCTATCCCCATACTTTCTTCCCAACTGGGATACTGCACAAGGCTCATCAAGAATTGCATCTGCACCAACATGTCTGTGTCCAGACTCTCCTGTGATGACGTCACCTTCAATAAACTCTATCAGTTTGTCATAGGTTGGACACTGTTGGGTTCTGATCTCATCCTTATCATTCTTTCTTATTCCTTTATCCTGAAAGCTGTGCTAAAGATCAAGGTGGAAGGAGCCATAGCCAAAGCTCTAGGCACTTGTTTCTCCCACTTCATCCTCATCCTCTTCTTCAGCACGGTTCTACTGGTCCTGGTCATCACTAACCTGGCCAGGGAAAGAATCCCCCCGGATGTCCCCATCCTGCTCAACATCCTGCATCACCTGATTCCCCCAGCTCTGAACCCCATTGTTTATGGTGTGAGAACCAAGGAGATCAAGCAGGGAATCCAGAAATTGCTGCATAGGTTGTAGGTAGTCAAAAAGGTAGACCCTGGCCTTGGGAACAGAAATTGTTAATAAGAAACAATTTTCATCATACATAGGACATCTAAATTGTTGATATAGGAATGAATTTGGGTATTGATTTCTTCAATGCTGATCATAGGATAGTCACATCTCAGCTCTTATTTTGTATTTCTCTGACTGGAACTTTAGCTTTGGCAATCTGAAATTACCAGCAAGTTTTTCTTGGCCTCATCTCTGGGAGCAGGACTTGTCATCCTATACCTACAAGAGCTATGAGTCATATGGTTTGTCAAAAAGACACATTATTCCAATAATTTTAAGTGATTCTCAATTACCTAAATTGTTTTACACACACGCACACACATATGCTCACATACTATTTGAATTCTCTCCCTTCTCCATAACATTGTTCAATCTGGTTTTGTGTCTTGAATGAGTCTCTTGAAGAGGTGCAAAAATTGACTCCAGAACTTTGGTTTTACATAGAGTGAGTGATGTGTAGTATTTATTCACTGTCTCTTCTTTCCTTGAAGGTCTTACTGCCACTTTCATTTAACGCTGCTTCTCTGGAGTATGAATTTCTTGTAGTTATTTCCTTATTTATGATGATTCAAAAAATTAAAATCAAAGTTTAAAAATTTAAATCAAATTAAAAAAATTTAAGATGAGTCATTTTTGTATGTATATATACACTTTATTTTAAATGAAACACTTTGTCCTTTAAAAATACTCATAAGTGAAATAAATAGGACACACGTGTAAATACAGAATAGTTTCTCTAGTGTGAGAAATTGAAAGTGTAAATAAGAATCTAAATGATTAAAATGAATAACTGATAATTTGAAATAGGAAAAGGTCCAAAGGTATAGGGATGGTGTGAGGGGAAGGGGAAAGGAAAGAAGGGAAAGGAAAAATTATGAGAAAAGAAAAAAATAGAAATGAAATCTATGTATATAGAGAAGGATGGAGGGGGTGAAGGGTGCAGAGGTAATGGGAAAAAAAATAAGAACCAAGATACATCATGTACAGGTACAAGCACCCAATGCTAAATGTAAATGTATTGTATACCTAAAATGTACCAATAAAAGAATTTAAGGAAAAAAAATTTTGGGGGGTGTGTTATACTGATGTCTAATTTCATATCATTTTACCTGACTTTTCCATCAAATTTCCACTACCATTTATATTCACACCCTCTCCTGCTTGTCATAGATATTCAATTAAATTGTCTTAACATCCTACTTTCGGAGGTGTAGCAATCTTCATATTTGTCTTGGGGCCAGCATAGCTTTCTATAGGCACAAGTCTTCTAAATTAATGAGCTTGTTGAACAAGAATAAGCGTGTATTACTTTTGGTCTTCTCACCCTGATCATGCTCTGAAAATGGTGAGGTGTAGATACTGTATTGCCTGATACTTCCTGGAACCAATTTACATTAGTAACCAAGATCCTTTTATGATAGTAACAGAGAGCTTCATATATTTTATCAAGCATTCATTTGAGAATGCCTGATCTAGGTAGCTGAGCTAGGATGATCTAACTATTTTTGGAAGACTTATAAACGAATCCATTATTTATACAGTATTGCATTTCATTAAAATAACAGCTTTGAATTCTCTCTTCTTTGTTTCACAACTTCAAGGTCTGACCCTAGCCAAAAAGTAATACTTCTCTTTTATTCACTTGTCCTTCCAATAAGGTCCTAGCTCATTTTTTCTAGATCATGACCCCTACCTAATAATATTTTAAAATCTGTGCTCAACTGTCCTCTTCTACATAGAGAAACCTAACAGAAGACTCTGCATTGGACAAGCTGAGCCCACCCAACAGGCAGTTTAGACTTCACCTATTCCACTGTGCCTTCTTTTATTCACCACACCTTGAGCACCTTGGGACATGATTATGTGTACATTGCATTCTGCTATTAAATTATAAATTCCTCCACGTCTGGTAAAGAGTTCTATTCATCTTTTCAACTTTATATAGTTCAGAGCTGCTAATATAGTGCTTTAGATATTTTTGTTCAATAAGGTGAATAAAATGTCACATTTTGCTTCTTATTTCCTCAGAAAACTTCTTAGGGAAACAATTAAGTTGATAATATAATGTAATCTCCAAATCACCATACAAAAAGCCTCATACAACTCACAGTTCAGTGCAATCTTAAACATCATAGAGCTTATCTCTGAATAAAACTTGTTTAAATCCTGGACACACTGACTTGGCTATTTACAATATATAGGACATTTGATTCATTGATCTCAATGTGAGTTCTGGTTTCTTTTTCATTTAAGAAGACTGATAATTGCCCTTCTATGTAGTTTTTCTGATTATTGGATGTCTTAGAAGACCTAATTCATAAAGAGTTTCTTAGTAGGTCCCCAAACATGGTATTAGCTGATAAATGGGAACTTGTTTTTTAAAAAATTCCTGTGCATACTGCTTCTATAAAGACTTAAAAAGAGATTGTTCTTTACTGTTTTATACACCATACTTTTTAGATAGATAACAGCCCTGCCCTATGTGTCATAGATATTGCTCATTACAGTTTCTTGATTTTTGTTCATCCTCCCTTATGACATCTTCTTCTGATTTGAATGTCTTAATGTTATTCTTTGGAACCCCATTTTAAGTAATCTATTGAAATCTTAATCCTGTTGCTTCATTTCAGTTGTTAGCACTTGGCTCAGAGTATTTTTGAATGAAGTCATATTAAAAGGACTGTTTTTCACAATAAAAGAGTAAGATTTTCCATGAAAACAAACCAGAAAAAAGTCTGATCTTGAATTATCCAGCAAGGGATGTGCTCATAGGCTTGCTACATACAACTGTACAATTTATCATGTTATTGCTATAATTAAGAAATTTTAAGTTTAAAAAACATTAATATTATTGGCACATTTTAGATATACAATATAATGACATTCATCATGGGAAATTTGCATCTTTACATAATCTGTCTGTTTTTTTTTTCTCCATTCCCCTGCCCTCCCTTCAACACCTCCATCCTTTCCTATCTACAAAGATGTTGTTTCCATTTTTCATTTTATCATATTAATTCCATTTCCTTCTTTCCTTTCCCCTACCCCTCCCATTTCCCCTTCCCCTTTGCCCCTTTTCTTCCTATTTCATATTATCTATTATACCTTTTAGTCCTTATTTATACTTTCAATTTCTCACACTAGAGAAACTATTTGGTATTTACACATGTGTGTCCT